TTAAAAACTTAAAACTCTTATTTTCTCTAGGATCAAGTTTTTGGTTCTGTTGCAAAGTAAGGAAACATAAGTGAAAAATATCATCAAAGAGGTTGTTATACTCTGCACATAAGCAACTAATATAAGCAGTTCCCTCGAGATCAAGTTTTTGGCGCCGTTGCCGGGAAAGATTTCAAAAATTTATTGAAAGCAAAATTTCTATTTTTAGAAAGTCTTATTTAAACTTTAAAAAAAAAGTTATTTCAGGAATATCTTCTTATAGTATTTTATTTTATGTGTGTTTTATAGTATTTTATTTTTATGTTAGTGTATGTGTAGTTCAGGATTAAAAAGATTAGTGCCATACGATTATGAATTAGAAAGAACTGTTTCAAAAAAAGTAAAAAAATTAAGAATTTTAAAAAATCTAAACAAATTACAGAAATGGCAAACCAAAATGATCAAAATGCTAAAATTCATCAAGAGTTTAAACCTTTAAGAGACTATGCCAACCTTATTGTAGATGAACATCATTATAATATTAAAAAACCTACTGTAGTGGTTAATTCGTTTTAGCTTAAACCTGCTATTACTAAAATGGTATCAAATAATCAGTTTGGGGGATGACGAACTGAAGATCCAAATTTACATCTTACCAATTTTCTAGAATTGTGCGCAACATTTAAATACAATGGTCTATCAGATGATGTCATAAGATTTAGGTTATTTCCTTTCTCACTGATGGATAAAGCTAAGATGTGGTTGAATTTGTTAGCACCTGGATCTATCAGAACTTAGGGTAATTTAGCAAAAAAATTCCTTGCAAATATTTTTCACCATAAAAAACTGCAAAGCTTTGAAATTGAAATGATATTACATCTTTTAATCAGTTTGAAGGAGAATCTATTTATAAAGCATGGGAACAATTTAAACTTCTGTATGCAACAAATGAAAAAGATAGATGTAGGCTCTATTATTTATAGGAACACTATATCTATTGCTTTTAGAGAGTGGAGAGACTTCTGGAGGTTTAACACACCCAACCTTGATCTTCACACTATGTGAACAGGCAAGAGTTGATTATAGACCAGAAGAGGAGAGGATTGAACCACTAAAACCTATTGGGCTTGCCAATATAAAGACTTATGAATCTCATGTTGGATGGAGATCTGGAAGTAGGACTAGGGATATTCCTTCTACTTCAGGTATTTTTAGTACCCCTACTATCCAAGAACTTATGGAGCAAATGATGATCCAACGGGGAAATATTTTGAGAATGGATCATAGAATGGAAAATATGGAGGGCAGAAATGCTCACATTGATGATTTGATAAGATAAAAGTTCTAATATGATGCTACTTATGATGATGCGATGGACAGATTCATGAAGGGTGATCACTCAGTTCAGTTTCCTACTCACCTTATTTTTACTCCATATCAACAGCAGAATTTGAATGTAGAAGAAGAAGAAAACGATGATTGGTGATGCTTTAGTTAGATTTTTGTTTAGTTTATGTTTAATTGTACAATATTGTTGAGATTGTTTGTTTGTGGACTGTGGTACTTTATTTTGTTGTATGTTGTATTGTGAACTATGGATTTGTGAGACTGTTTTTAATACTGTTATTAGTTTTTAGTACTTTATTGGATGTATTTGTAGTTAACTCTTTCTCAGCAAATTTTTATATGAATTATGTGCTATTTAATGTTTTAAGTCTTGTAACTTTTCATATTAACACATGCAATATTTCAGAATTAAGTTTCAAATAAGAACCTTCAACAAGTGTGTCTTTTCTTTATATATTAAATGTTTTCTTTAACCCTTAATTTTTCAGTTCTTCATTTAAAATCTTTTAAAAATTTAAGTTTGGGTGGAAGAAAAATTCCTTTTTTAAGAAAAAAACTTAATTTTATTTGTCCTCAATTAGTTATATCTTCAAAATATTTAAGAAAAAAATAATGTAACATGACCTTTGATATTAGAGGGTAATTTTAGATAACTATATCTATGTTTCTAAATATATAGTAAACTTAAATAAAATTTTTAAATAATAAAGGTTATATTTAGAGATTAAAATATTTGGTATGATAAAATAAGACTATATTTTTTTCTATTTTAAGAAAAGAAATTTGTATTTTTAAAGCATTAAAAATCTTAGAGATTCATGTAAGAAATATTTGATATGATAGAATAAGACTATGTTTTTCTATTTTAAGCAAAAGAATTTATATTTTTGAAGTATTAAAAATCTTAGAGATTTATGTAAGAAGAAAAGATTAAAAATTTATGAAAGATCTTTAAAGCTAATATAAATTTATATAGTAAAGAAATGTGAAAAGTTTTTAACTTTAAGAAGAGAATAGTGAAATTCAAAATCATTAAATGCTATCCAGGTATAGTAATCCTCACATAAAAAAAAGAGAAAAGAAAAAAGAAAAGAAAAGAAAAGAAAAGAAAAGGATTGAAAATGATCCTAAAAAAAAAAAGAAGAAGAAAGATGTGAGGAGAAGCTTGAGGAGATGCCTAATTAAAAATTGGCTTCACTTGAATCAACTTAAAGAAGAAGGCTTGACTACATTTTCTAAACTTATATTTAAGTATTAACGTATTTACTCGTAAATTTTCATGAAGTTCTTTTTCATATGAATATTCTAAGTGGCTTTAATATGAATAATTTGTAATTTTTCCTGAAAGAATAGAGAATTAAAAATCTTAGACTTGACTGCTAAATAATCTTTTACCTTTAGTGTTAGCTAGAGTTATTTAGAATTTTTCTTAAGTGATGTTATTATATTTAATGAACTAAGATATGTAAATCTAAAAGTTAAAATCTTTACCATAAGTCATATTTTTATGTAGTAAAAGAGTTACTTGAGGACAAGTAACATTTTAGTTTGGGGGATTTTGATGCACCAAAAATATATGTATTTTTAGACCTATATTGTATACCAATTTTTGGTGATATTGCACTTTAAAGGAAGATATTTTTCATATTTTATTGCAGGTTGTTGATTTTTGGGACTTGAAGCAAAAAAGGAAGCAAAATGAATGGAATTTGGAGCAAAAATGGAGATTTGGAAGAATTACTCAGCGCCGACGGCGCCATAAGGACGTCGGATGGCGCAGACCTATAGACGTCGGATAAGGACGTCGGATGGCGCAGACCTATAGAAAGGATGCAGAACAAGAGTCAGCACCAACGACGCCATACTAGGTTTTGACGGCG